TTAAAAATAACTCAACTTTAGTGCCACCTCTGTCAATTTGAATGAACTCTATCCAGTGGTTTTTGAGTTTAGTCCGAACAACGGAAACGGCTATCATTTTATGTACAGAGGTATGTAGATAGGACAGTCTACAACGGAACTTATAAAAATCAAAGATCCAAACTTTGTGCAAAATTTAAAAAATTCTTCTACCAAAAATTAAAAACAAAGTTATGCCAAATTTGCACTAGGAATTGAAATTACAAAAAATGTATGCTATTTAAAGAAATGCCATGTGGAAATGAACTTAATGATAATTTTTTTAATGTAATGACACGATTATTTTTTAAAGCCCGACTTTGTCATTTGCAGTATTTGCCATTTAATGCCGAGTGGAAATCCAGCATTACAATAGTTCAATGCGATTGAAAAATATAGGGAACATTTTTTTCTCAATTGAGTGATACTTGCCCATTTAAGTAAATGTATGTATATAGGTGGTCGGCCGCTGTGGTGTAGTGGTAAGCAGTGCGCGCTTTCACTCATCAACACCTGGGTTCAAGCCCTGGTCAAAGCAACATCGCAAAAAATTTAGAAAAAAGGTTTTTTCTCAACAGCGGTCGCCCCTCGGCACGCAAAGGCATACCTCCGAGTGTATTTCTGCCATGAAATACAGCTTCTCATAAAAATACAATCGCCGTTCGGAGTCAGCGTAAAACTGTAGGTCTCTCTGATTTGTGTGACAACATCAAGGCGCGCGCCACAAGTCGGAGGAGCGGCTCGGCCAAACACTAACATATGTGTACGCGCCAATCTAAAAAAAAAAAAAAAAAAAAAATTTATATAGATGCAGCCTTTCCAATAACTACCACTTCTCGCCATAAGTACGGTTTTGATAACATATATATGTACATAGCTGTGTCAAATGTCAGGACGTTAGCGTAAGCGGTTCCAGAGATAAGCTATGTATATTAGAAGTTCAATATATATGGGAGGTGCCACGCCCCCTTTTTAATGACTATCAGTTTTCGCCATAAGTAGAGTATTTGAAATTTATGCATCCGGGCTAATACTAGGTTCACATATAAGTAGATTATCCTAATTTTCGAGCTTAACACCCTAATCTGTAATTATAACAAGAGATTAGCCATATAAAATTCGTCCCTTGTTAATCTGTAATTATAAAATAATCTCAGATTTAACCGATAACTTTTCGGTTTCCATCCTAGTTTTATCGATTGTTTTTGCGAAAGAGAGGAGAAATGCCAAATGTAAAAGTAAACAAAAATGTACGCTAGCAAGTAAAAGAGGTTTGTAAAGGTATTTTTAATAAAATGTTAAGTTAAAATATATTTATATTGCTTATTATAGCAGAAAAACGTGATCACGGGGGCACAGAGAAGAAACATAACTTTTCCTTGAGATGTGAGAATAACAAGCACAACAAATTTGACGGCTAATAATCTGAGATTTGCCTGTGTAAACGGGGTGATTAAAAAGTGAGCTTTGATTAAGATAATATTGATATGTGAAAATAGTTTAAGCTTCAGTTCCCCAGCGTAATTGGTTTTAGAGATATACATATAGGTTTCTTACGTTTTAGTCTGTATTTTTAAGAATATCCAGCGCCACGTACCGAGTAAATTTTTGGTGGAAATATTTATCTTATCTATCGTATTGTAATATTTCACTTATTTTACCAATTTGAATGAATAACATTTTTCAAACAGGTGGCACCCCCCCCAAAAATATTTTTGGCAGTAAAATTTCCTAGCCTCTTTAGTTTGATGCCAATATTGCATATTTAATTTATGTTATCAATTAAATAAAATTAAGTAAAAGTTTTCAAATAGGTAGCAACCTTCCGCAAAAATATTTTCAGCTTACAAGCTTTTGTAAACATCTTTCTTTTGAGAGCCACATTAGAATATTTACTTTATCGTATCAATTTACTTAAACTGAAATTTTCAAACAATTTTATTTTATTTCTATATGCTTATATGCTATAGCAATACGTCGGTTAAAAGTGCATTCAATTCCATGCATTAGTTTTCGAGTGATGCGCGTATAAACATACAGACAGAAATATTCAGAAAAAGTCCGAAGTAGTCAGATTTAGTCCAAAAAGCATTCCCTAACTCGGAAATGACAGCAAAAATGAGAGAGCAACACTCAGTGAGAGTGACTCTCATCAGTCCGAAGTAGTCAGATTTAATCAGAAGAATTTTTTCTGGCAAAATCCTGAAAAGTGTCAAACTCAACTGAATTTAAATTAACGGAAATTAAAGAATACGCAAAAATTGAGAATAATCTAAAAAGTAAAAAAAGTGAATTGAAATTGGAAGGAGGCAAAAAATAATTCATATAGTGTTTATTGTGCTTGTGCTTGGTGAATGTGTTTTATACATAAATTTCCATTTTTATTTGACGTTAGCTTTGTTGTTGCCATTCTTTGGACTAAAAATTTGTTTTTTTGTGTTCCTTTACTTTTCCTGTTATTCTCTTTTTGTTTCGCTCTGGCATTTTGACACTTTTCAGATTTTAGTCCAAAAAGATAAGGAATAAACCTAAACTCTAAAAAAAAAGAAAAAGGGCTAATGAAAACACAAACCAAACACTCCTACGTTTTCACTCACTCACTAGCGAAGTACCAAATTTTGACAATCAAATGCCACTCACAGCTGATGAAACAACACCACCTAAATTCGCCTTGCCTGAAAATATACAAATTCTAAAAATCAGTCAGCCCAATTCTTAGTATTCCTGGGAAGTTTGTTCTCCGGGATTTTTATTCTCTCGAGAAAGAAGTCCTCCAATAATTAACTCCCAGGGAGTAGTGTTTTCCCCGAAAATTTGTTAGGATGAAATTCGAACTTTGAAAAAGCTGTTAGACACTTTTTGACAGTTCAACTCCGCCATTTAATAAAAAAAATCCTCAGAGAATTTTTATTCATGATAGGAGGAAGGGGAAAAGTTAGAAAACTCTCAGGGAGTTTCTGTTCAGAATCGGTCCGAACATTTTTTATACAAATTTGAAATTCGTTCCACAAAAAATAAATATTATTTCACAAGAGTTTAACTAGGGGGGTATGCTGGTTTAAACTTTTGTTAACTGAGCGTTTTCAATGTCAAAATCGATAGTAAAACTCTCTTCAGTGGTTAACTACACACTGTGAATTTGTTCATAAATTAAGCAAAAAACAACTGAAAGATAAATATTTACGCAAATAAAGTCAACGAAAGACTTAAGTCACGAACTCTTTTTTTAAACGTTAAATGAAAAATGTTTCCATAAATGGATACTTGAACCTAATGATAAACGATCTGGAAGTTGAAATAATCCAGCTTTCATCTGGCTTAAAACTAACAATAGTGGTTCTCACTGAAACTATTTTTCACATCCCAACACGCAGACGCCCCTCTCATTCTTAACGTTAAGTTCCCAAAACTTTTGTTCTCGTTTTGTTCTCCAACAAAACGTTCCCCAAATTTTTTTTCATTCTCCTTTAAAATGTGATCCATACTTTAGTTTTCATTGGAGACGTTCCCGAAAGATTCGTTCTCATTCTGTTCTTTTTGCGAACGTTCCCGAAAGTTGTTGTTGTTTGTGTTCTTTAAAGGGCCCATACATGATACCAGCATGATGGCGCCATCAAGTGTTGGTGCCAGCCGATTGACTGTGTATGCTCTTGTGGTGTGATTGTACCAGCTGCTGGTGCGACATCAAAAACGATTTGATATTTTTGTGATTGTACCAGCATGCTGGTGTAATGTATTGTCAATTAAGCTCATTTTATTATAAATTTTCACCAGTCAACATCACTATGAACTCAAAAGAAAAAATATTTTGGGCAGAGTTCCTCGATTTATATGAGTCAATGCCGTGTCTGTGGAAAATAAAAGCTACAGAATACTGCAATAGAGATCTAAAAAATCAAAGCTACAATAAAATGGTTGAAATATTAAAAGAAATAGACCATGCAAATGGATGGGCAAAACAGTATGATGAACTGTCAAAAACACAGAAAGTTTTTACAAGAACTATATTTGCGGATATTCTTTTTTATGGTTGTTTGGATAAACTTACTGAGAATGCTGTTGAAGACGTACACAAAGTGTTAAAAGGACTCTCGGCTCGGACACATACTCCGTATTCGTATTCATCGCGGACATCGACTCCATATCTGGAAGAACATACAAACTCCATACCATACCAAAACCATACTCATCTTCTAACCAGTATATAGAACAGCCGTTATTTTCACCTCCGCCGGCACCAACATTCGTTGGATCCGTAGTCCGAAATAACCTTCCAGTTATTACTAGCCATCAAGTATTAGCGAACGAGGCAATACCAGCTCCTCAGTCTTCAATTGTGCAATATTTTACCAACTTTGTTGATGAATAAACGTTAATTAAAACTATAGGTTTTTTTATTAGTCAAGACTATAGTCAAGACTATAGACCCTGTATTTAAGTATAAAGGTGTATTTTTTTGCTATTTGAAAATTGTCGTACCAAATCGGCGATGCTCTATCATTTGGTGGTATTACCGACTTCCTGTTTCTACAAAAAGTGGGCTAGACTGACCGGAAATCCATTTCTTAAATGGGATATACACTTTTTTCCACAGATTCGGATTCTGCGCATAAAAATACATAACTTTTGTCGGAAACTTTTTTTCTGGAATAGACTTCCGTTTAAAACAATGGACTTCCGCCATGTTTAATTCACTTCCGTTCTAAACCGTGAGTCAGCAATACAATCAAAAGATTAATGGCCCTATTTTGTATGGCGACTGATAGCCGATGGCCAACCATATACTAAAATTCGCATTACGTATGGCAACTGGCTACTGACCGTCGGCTACTGAGTCTAGTGGCGCAATTTTCTGTTTCCCGCTTATGACGATTTTGTTATTTGTTTGCCTAGACCGACAAATGGTTGTAGTACCAAACAAGAAGAAAAGGATAAGCGTACAACAAAAAACTCAATATCAGGTATTTATTCCTACATTTAATTTACTGTTTGCATATTTTATTTTGCCATGGCACAGTTCCTACTGTGTTAAAATATTCACAAAATTTATCTCTGACTTCCTTTGCGAGATTGCTTGCATTCCTTATTGTAGTGGGAGTTAAGTTATCCAGATTATTTTCATCGGAGCTTGGTTCGGAAAATTCTAGTCCATCTGTCATTCTATTATTACGATAAACTTTTCTTTCTCGTAAAAAGTTGTGTAGATAACAGCAGGTTAGCACGATAGTTGTTACTTTCTCAGGCGAAAGGTTGATTGTTTTCAATAGTATCCTGAACCTTGAAGCCAAAATGCCAAAGGTGTTTTCAACTATTCTTCTGGCACGCGATAAGCGATAGTTGAATATAATTTCCTCTCTTTTCATAGTCGTGTGACTGTATGGCTTCATTAAATTTTCCATCAATGGGAAAGCATCATCACCTACAAACACATATGGCATGTTTGAACTTAAGCCTGGCAATGGTTCCGGATCAGGAATGCATAACTCATTTTTCTTCAACTTCTCCAACATTTCCAAATCGTTAAGGAGCCCAGCATCTGACGCCCTACCATTTGCACCGACATGAACCATTAAAAATTGATAATTTGCGTTGACAACTGATCCAGGGGGCTTTACAATGTTCACATGCTTGCCGTCAATGGCACCGATGCAGTGAGGAAAGTTCCACATTTTGCTAGAATCATATGCTTCTGCTTTCCATTCATCACTATTGTTTGGAAGCTATAAAGTTTAAATCAATAGTTTTTGACATTTATTTACTTCTTTCCATTGTAACTCACCTTTATGCAATTTTTAAGCACTTGATTTATCGCTTCGCACGTTTCAATTACAATTTTTCCGATTGTTTGTGGAGTAATAGCCGTGAGGAATTTCAGGTCTTCAAACGTATTTCCACTAGCTAAACATCGCAAGGTGACTGCTAACCGATGATACGGTGATATTGGTTCCCTCATCATAGTTCTTTTTTTTAACGATTAATGGAGAAACTTTGCCTAGTAGTTGGTAAAATTGTTGTTTATCCATCCTTAAAAAATTATTTAAATCATCTACGGCACTGATTTCCAATTCTTTTAGAAGTTTAGTGTTGCCCAATTCTTCTTTATTATTAATCCAAATTTTTATCCAATCACGCTTTTTTCTTTCAATTTGTTTTCGTTTTCTTTTTAAGATAATAGCAATAACAATTGCTGCACGAACTTCGTCTCTATTCATAACGACTTTTCCGAACAAAATTTGTAGTGAAATAAATATTGTACCAGCATGCTGGTATGTTATATACTTCGAGCTTGATGGTACAATCACTTGATGGTGCCAGCAAGCTGGTGTCGTGTATTCCCCCTTTTACGGAAGCGTTACCGAAACTTTTTTTCTCATTTTGATTCCGTTAAAACTGCCCTCAATAATTTTATTCCCGTTTGGTTATTTTGTGGGGACGTTCTTCACATTACATTTTGTTCTCGTGCAGAGCTAAACCACAACGATTTCTCGGTTCCTGATTTAAAGTTTCTGGGGTACATTTGCATGCATCGATCAATCATTGATCACCATGAAAAATATCAAAAGTCAAATTCCTTTCTAAAAAAAAAAAAACAATTTCCTAAAAATTGCAAAAAATTTAAATCGTAATAAATTAATACATAGTATACATATACACACTGCGCGAAAATTTACAAACACAGAACTTCATTCCGTCGTTTTGCTGTATTTGTACACAATGGGTTTGCTTCAGCGATGGATCAGCGTCAAAGTCAAACATCGAAAATAAACGGAAATGTAATAAAGCGTTCGAATTCGAAATGCGGAGATGGTGGTAAAGCCGACAAGGGGGACAAGAGTAAAGAAAACAACTTGTCCGTAGTGTTGCATGGCGTCGGAGATTTGCGTGTGGTAAGCGATTTTATAGAACTTATACAAATAAGAAGTAAAAAGATTTGGGACTAATATTTCCATATATGCACATATTAGGAACAAACGCCAATGGCGAAAGCGTGCCCAGGAGGTAAGTTTGAAATGTGGTATTTTTGAAAAGCATTTTTATTAACAGTTATTTTTCTTTAATGTATTCTCATACACCTCAGAGGTACTACTTGCCATTGACTCAGTTGGTATTTGCGGCACTGATGTACATTTTTTGGTACGTGGCAAAGTCGGTTCATGGGAAGTCAAAAAGCCTATGGTTATTGGGCATGAAGCTTCAGGCGTTGTCGCACAAGTGGGGAAGGATGTGAAAAAATTGAAAGAAGGCGATCGTGTAGCGGAGCCGGGACAGGCTTGTCGCTATTGCAACATGTGTATTAGTGGTCAATACAATTTATGTCCCAAAATGTAATTCTGTGCGGCTCTGCCGGTGCATGGCAATTTATGCCGCTATTACAATCATGCTGCAGACTTCTGTCATAAATTTCCGGAACATTTGACAATGGATGTCGACGTGCCAATTTGCGTCTGGGTTCTCATGTGCTCATCTTAGGTGCCGGCCCGGTAGGTTTAGCGACGTTGATTGCTGCAAAGGCATGGGGTGTAGCATCGACGACAGTTATCGATTTCAAGGAGCATCGACTCAAGTTGGCCCAGGAATTGGGTGCGACCTACGCAATGAAATCGTGCAAGTGTTTGGATGTGGAACTGATGGCTAAGGAAATAATCAAAAGTATTGGGGTTACACCGGATAAGACGCTCGACTGTGTTGCCACCGATGAAACTGTGGCGCTGGGAGTGCATGTAAGCTATAAATGTATATCCAGATATAGGATCCTTTTAATACATGTATATAAAATTGTCGATCTTCGAATTGTTTCGACCAGATTCTTGTCCGAATAGGGTTAAGATAGAACGATTTTCAGCATCTCAAAAGAAAAAGTCCGACACGCAATAACAATCAGCATTAACAATTGCTGAAATATAATGAAATCCTAGAAATTTAAAAGTTCTACTATAGCCTTATTTGAAAAATCATTTCCAATAATTCAGGCCCGGGGGCGAAGCTCTCTTCTGTCTCTCGAAAGACTAAGTGAAAAATCTGCTAATGAGGAGGCCCTAGCATTTGTCTTTTAGCAAAAAGTTTTCTAAATATTAAATTAAATAAAAAATATAGTATGTATGCATGATTCATTATTGAATCATGGTATCTATGTATACACATACATCAGGGTGGTCCAAAAATGCATGTGAAAAAGTAAAGTCGGAATTTTTATGCCGAAAAAAATATATCGTCCCCTCTCAATTAAAAAAAAAACTTTCATATATGTGGTATAGAATTCTAGAAAATATATCAGGTCGGTTCTGACCAGAAACTCCCTGAGAATTTTCTCTTTCCTTTTCCTCCTATCATGTATAAAAATTCCCTGAGGATTTTTTAAATTAAAAGCTCTCAAAAAAGTGTCAAACAACTTTTTCGAAGTTCGAATTTCCTAATCCCAAGTTTTCGGGGAAAATGCTACTTTCCGGGAGTTATTTATTGAAGGATTTCTTTCTCGGTAGAACAAATTAACGGAGAACAAACTCCACGCGAGTATTAAGAATTGGGCTGAATATTTTTCGATCCAAAAACTCCTGAAGAGAACCAGTCTTCCGATCGAAAAATATTGATTTTCAAGAATTCTATACCATTTCTACGAAAAAGTGGTTTATTCCCATATAAACTACATGGAAAACTTTTGATTTTACTTTTTTTGGACCACCCTAATATACATACATACATATCGGGGTTCGTATGGAATAGTAGCTTATGTTATGTCGACAAGGAATTTTTGATGTGACTTAATAAGAATATTGACTTGCTAATATCGGAACTATTTCTTGCACGTTTATTTGCCAAAAGCTCGTCAACGGCTCGGCGCCAGTGAGTCATTCGCAATCGTATGCTGCGAATGCCGCATTATACTAAAGCCAGAACAGATATGTATGTATGAATTTTTCTTTTCAAAACAATAACAACTAAAAATTAAAACAAAAAATAAATAAAATACATAAGTTTTTAAACATTAAATTAAATTTAACAAAAGGTATTTTTTTCTTCTAAAACAATAAAATCTAGTAATTAAAGGAAAATTAAATTGAAGAGAAAAATAATTATTTCCTAAACATTAAATTAAAAATAAATCCTTTATAAAACAATAGCATCTAAAAATTAAATTAAAAAAGAAAAATTTAAATAAGTTTCTGAAAATGAAATGAAATTAAAAAAATAAAAATATTTATATATCTAAAGCGATAAAATCGTAAAATTATATTGAAAAATAAAATAAAATAAGTTCCTAGAAATTTAATGAAAATATGAAACAGTGAAATCTATAGATGAAAAGAAAATTAAATTAAAACATGTAATTTTTAAGCAAAAATAAAACCGACTTCAATTTTCGTATACAAATTTAAGAGTACCCATAATTTCTTCATGAAGCAATGATCGGATCTAAACGTATTTAGTATGGGAGCACCTCTGATACATACATAAAAAAATACATATATTCCGACGAATTGATAACCTCCTTTTTTTTGAAGACGGTTAAAAAAAAAAGAAGAAATAAATAAAATACGTTAAGAATTAATTGAAATATAAAAAAGATGTTTTTCATTTTAAAACAACAAAATCTGAAAAATTAAGCAAAATTAAATTATAAAAGAAACAAAATTGATTTATCGGATCCCTCGAATGGCTTTCTCCCTCGGCTATGGCGACACTTGTCGTAGCGCGAGCCAAATGATATACATATGTATGTATGTATACATCTCCATTTAAAACTTCTCTCTCAAAAGAACCTTTCACCATGAAAGTGGGCAAGGGGGCTTTTTTTGTAAGACTTTCGTGCCAGAATAAAGAAAATCTTTCAAGTTACATATCTTGCCTCCTGTCTTTCAATTGTCTTACAAAAGACTTGCAACTATTTTAGCCAGAATTGCCCGATTAATTTGCCGATTTAAACCCGCTCAGCTAAAACCTTAACCTTTGGTTGCTTATAAGTTGAGACCATTATCTAAATTTTTTTAACACTTTGGCCTCGTACATCCTTATATATTTAAGTACATTCTTACTTTTGTTTTTTGAGGTTTTGGTTAAATTAAAACTGAATTTTCTGAATAATATAAACATTTCTTTAAACCAATTACATAAAGCTCCAATAAAGTCTACACGTGTCGGTGGTAAATGTGTAATTATTGGCATGGGTGCTGACGAAGTCAAATTACTCTTAATGGTGGCTATCTCGAAGGAAGTTGACCTAAAGGTCTTTCGTTATTGCAATGAGTAATAAATAAAACGTTATCAGAAATATTTTCTTGGACTTAAAATATATCAATTTAAACTTGTATCTATAGCTATCCATATGCCTTGCAATTGGTACCAGCAGGTGGCACGGGAATAAAAAAGTTAGTCACACACCATTTTGATATCGAAAAATCTAAAGAAGCCTTCGAGACGGCCAAAACCGGCAAAGGTGACCCTGTGAAAGTGATGATACACGTACAAAAACGTGATAAAAACAATAAAAACCCGTTCTCTAAATAAGCAGTAAATTTTGTAATAAAATTTTGAGGGTATATTTGCATACGCGATTTTTTATGTTTTAAAGAAACAAATATTTAATACCAAAAAATTGTAAAACCATGAATGCTTCATATACATATCTTATACATATTTACATATACATATGTATTTATATCAATTAAAGATGCGATATAACTTATTTAAAATATGGTAAATTGTTATATATTTATGGCTGCCTTTTTTAGCTAAATATTCATAAATACATATAAAGTAGAAAAATAAACTGAACTATAGAAATGTGCGTACGAGTTATAAAAATTCCTCAAATGCTACAATCATGCGTACATTCATGCCTGTATGCATTTTTTATATGCTAATTATATGAAAAGACAAAAAAATGCTTCAAACAACTGTTATTGCTAGAGTTTCTAAAATAGCTGTTCAAATTGTTATAAAAATTCGTGTTGTTTC